TCTCTTAATTCTATTTTATTTATTTAATCTCAATTTAAATCATTATACTTGTATCTTTTGTCCGTTCTTTTTCAATTATCTATCTTTTCTCTTTAATACAAACTTTTTCCTGTAATCACTGGTTGAAGTATGACACCTTTCTATCTTTCCCCCAAATTTAACACTTAATTTCCATTCTGATTCTGCTTAGTACATTCTACATAACATTTTAAAATAAAAAACATAATGAGCTTATAGCATGGTAAAAACAATGTTCCATAACAAATTAATTAATTAAACTCTATTAGTTAATTCTTAGACATTTTACACATTCCCTACAATGTTCTATTAACACATAAAATATTCCAATTTTCTAACTCTATTTCAAATACAAATACTACAATACAATCTTATGTACTTTTGCAGAATCTTTTTTTAGATTATATTTTACCCTTTGTCTCTGAAAAAAACCTGTTTTTTAACATCTTGTTTTAAGCCTTTATAACTTCTCTTCACTTTTTCCCTTCCTTCCTTGTCAAGTCTAGCCTTTTTACCCCACCCCCACCCCCAATCTCCAGCCTTAGTCTCCCCTCTCTGTTGTATTCCTCTTTTCTGTTGTTTTCTGACATTATATCGATTTTTCACCTTATTTTTCCCTTTCTTGGTTGTTTTTTTAGAACTTAAATTCTCCATTTTCTTTTCCTTTTTACCCCTTTCTTCCTCAATTAAAACTATATGTCCATTAAACATGGCTTCTTCTTCTTCATCCCAACCTTCTTGTTGTTGCATTTCCTGATAAGTAGAAATCGCCATTTCTAAGAAACGAAAAATAGATCCAAAAGAGCCCTTGCCTTCTTCTTCCTCTTCTCTTAACTTTTGAAATTCCATTTTCAATTCTTCAACAGATACCATTGTGAAAAAAATTTTTTAAACAATCCAAATGTTTTTTTAGTCTTTCAAAAGATAGTTTACAAAAGTCCCAAAGTCATCAAGCAATCAAAGTCAGCACAAACTATTTCATTTAGCACTTTCTTCTTTTAATACTTTCTCTTCCTGGGGTAGAATTCAATTACACAATTCCAAGGTAATTTTTGGAAGTTTTATTGCAATTTAATCTCTGATCTTATAAGCTCCAAGCAGTCTCCTTCAACAAATCTTGGTATAAATCATTTACCTCTCTTCCTTCCCACTTATAGCAAAAAGATTTTAATTTTTAAATGCCAGTGTTTAGAAATCTAATGTCCCCTTGGCTTTAATTTTCAAAATTAGTACCTTCTGCTGCCAAAGCGGGTATTTCCAATTTCCATCTGCTGTCTCCGTAGGGAAGGAAAGTGAGGAGAAAAAAAAAGCTTTCACTTTCAACCGCAGCTTTGCAATCCTCTTGGGAACAATCTATCACTTAAAGAGCCAAAGTTCCAGGGTATTCAGATGTTGCTTGTCATCCCGGTTCAGCCAAAAGCTTTCACTTTCTCAACTTCCTCCTGCACAAAACTTGTCCGGTTGAGAGGTTCTTTTTGGCGGCCATTGCTGACCGCCGCTCCACCGCCTTTGGAAAAGGGAGTTAAGCCGGCTGGGGAAGGGGGTTGCGATGCCTCCAGACCCCTGCCCGGATCTCCCCTCTCTTCAGTTATCCCTACAGGATAACTATAGCCTCCCGATCCAACTGGATCGAAGGCACTCCGGCAGTGAGCGCAGCAGGGATCGCCCACAAAGGCGAATTCCTGCTGCCTCCGAAGCCTGACAAACCGGCCAAGAAGAATACGACATTTGAAGCCCATGTCCAGGATCCGTCTGTGTGTGGTGGCTCTTGATGCACTGACTCCAGCCTCAGTCCACTCCTTGTGAAAGTCCCCAACACTTTTGAATGGCCTTTTCCTGACAATCCTCTCCAGGCTGCAGTCATCCCTGCTGCTTGTGCACCTTTTTCTTCCACACTTTTCCCTTCCACATAACTTTCTATTAATGTGCACAGCACATTACAGAACTTCTTTTGCAATTACTTCTTGAGTCTTTCCCTCCTTATGGAGGGTGTCAATGATGGTTTTCTGCACAACTGTCAGGTCAGCAGTCTTTCCCATGATTGTGATTCCTACTGAACCAGACTGAGAGACCATTTAAAGGCTCAGGAACCCTTTGCAGGTGTTATGGCTTAATTAGCTGATTAGAGTGGGACACTCTGAGCCTAGCATATTGAACCTTTTCACAATAGTCTAATTTTCTGAGATGGTGGATTTGGGGTTTTCATGAGCTGTAAGCCATAATCATCTCAATTATGACACATCACGGCTTGAACTATCTTGCTTTGCATGTAATGAGTCTACCTCATATATTAGTTTCACCTTTTAAGTTGCATTACTGAAATAAATGAACTTTTGCACAATATTCTAATTTTTTGAGTTTCACCTGTAGAATGTATTTGCATATATGAATACCAATTCATATTTATCCCTTGTTCATCTAGTTCTTGCTTTGTTTTGAGTTCACTCGTTTCATTTAAAATTTCATTATATCTAACAATATGTTCTATTTTAAAAACATTTGGATACGCAAATGCCTCTATTGTTAATAACCAGACTGGTATTTTCAAATAATGTTCTTCCCTTATTTTCTCCCATGTTGATAATAAAGCATCTCGAATACAATGTCTCCGAAAGTACCCATGCGCTTTACTTTCCTTATTCCATAAAAATGCATGCCAATTGCAGTTCATGACCTTCCAATATTAACAGTCTAGTATTTCTCAAAACAATCCATTCTTTCATCCACATGAGTATTACTGCCTTATAATATAATTTCCAATTGGGTAGTCCAAAGCGTCCTCTCATTCTAGTGTCCTGTAATAGTTTTAGTTTAATTCTTGTCTTCTTTCCCTGCCATATATATTTCAACATCATTTTATTTAGATCCTCAAAATATTCTTTCCGTAATCTTATTGGAATCGTCTGAAACAAGTATATTATCCTTGGTAGTATATTCATTTTAATTGTAGATATTCTTCCTATTAAGGATAGTTGTAGATTTTTCCAAGTCTGTCACAATCTGTTCTTTTAGTTTGTAATAATTATCTTCCTTAAGTGTTCCACATCTTGCTGTCAATTGTATTCCCAAGTATTTCACTTTTTTGTGATCTGGATATTTAGTCTGTCCATCAATACTTTCCTTTGTTTTTCCATTATGTTCTTCACTAAAATCTTAGTTTTTTCTTTATTTATTTTCAACCTCTCCATATTCTTCTATCCTTTCTATCAGTTTAGAAGCTGTTTCCAATGGTTCTTCTAGTATAAAGACCAGATCATCTGTAAATGCCTGTAATTTAACAATAAGAAAAAGTAATCCACTGGTAGTATTTATAAATGAAGGGAAAAAGAAAAAAAGAAAAAGTTATATTCCAACAAAAAGGCTAAAGCAAAAACAAAATGGTTGTGGAAAAACAAAAATGGCCCAGAAGAGATACCAGCAACCAAAAAAACCCCAATTGAAAATAGTCAGTTGTAATTTTAAATATAGGTCACAAAGCAAATCCCAGCCACCATGTATAGTATCCAAAGAGCCAGTCAAAATATCAACAAGATATAATCCAAGGTCACAGTAGTATTTACTGTTTCCACTTCAATCTCCAGCTGTTTAGATTGTTTTGCGAGAGCAACACCTGTTTAAACAATTATTATTCAGTGCTCAGCTCTCTATCTTCTTTTTTCTTTGTAGCCTTTAGGTGGTACTGTTGCTTCACTTTCACTACTTTATTAGATTGTAACAAAAAAGTTTCTAGCAAAGTTCACTTTTAAAAAGTAAAAAGGGAAAAATAGTCCAAATTCTATATTTAAAGTAAGAATTAAAAGTTGGTCTTCCTTTAGTTTTTATAAAGTCCAGTCCAGTTAAAAGCTAATCTCTTGTTAAAGCACAGAAAAATAGTCTTAATTAAGTTTGACAGTGAAAGATATGGTCAATTTCACTGCTTATTTTCTCTTCTGTCTTCTATCTTCTTAAAATCTTTTCGCCCTTAGGGTACTCTTTCATTCTTAGCCAGAAAAAAATTAAAAAGTCTCACGCAAAAGCGACATGCTTTCTTTCTGTATCTTCTACCATTCCAGAGCTGTCCCAACCTTTCAGCAGCTTTTAAATGGCTGCTTTCCTCCGCAGCCAGACTAGAGAGGTTTTCCTGGATCAACCAGGGACTTTGCAGTGTCCCTGGGATCAGCAGGATGCACTCTCCTCTTCCACCCTCTCTCCGGGATGGTTCGGGTCCAAATGGACCATCCAGGTGCGGGGATTTCGACGGATCTCCAGGAGCTCCTGAAACGCCCATCATCCCGCCGCGATGTCAGCCCCGCCCCCTCTAGATTGGTCAGAGTTGAGGGAAAGCTGAATGGAACAAAGTACAGGGATATCCTCAGACTAGGCCGAAAATTCACTTTCCAACACGGCAACAATTCTAAGCACACAGCCAAGACACAACACCAGGAGTGGCTTAGGAACAACTCTGTGAATGTCCTAGAGTGGCCTAGCCAGAGCCCTGACTTGAACCCTATTGAACATCTCTGGAGGGACCTGAAAATTGCTGTCCACCGATGGTCACCATTCAACCTGACTGAACTTGTGAGGATTTGCAAGGAAGAATGGCAGAAAATCCTCCAATCCAGGTGTGCAAAGCTTGTCAAGTTATACCCAAAAAAACTTGAGGCTATAATTGCTACCAATACTGAGTGAGGGTCTGAATAGTTATGCCAATGTGATATTTGTTTTTTCTTTTTAATAAATTTACAGTCATTTCTAAAATTCTGTTTTCAGTTTGCCATACAGTACTGAGTGTAGATTAATGAGGAAAAAAATGAATTTCAACAACTGTAGAATCAGGCTGCAGCATAACAAAATTGACAAAAGTGAAGGGGGTCTGAATACTTTCTGAACACACTATATTTCTTTCAACTCTGCCTCTAATGGTATTACATTACATTCAGTTATAAACAATGTGTTGTTGAATTGAAATGTAGTTTAAATGACTTGAATTTTGTTTTCCTCAGAACACAAAAGATCATAGTGTGGGTGCGAGTACAAACACTGTACCATCTGGAGTTCCTCGTGAGCCTTCTTTGCCAGTTTCTTCTACTCTACCAGGGACATTTGAACAATCTCCTTCCTCATCTCAATCTCCCTAGTAAGGACCTCATAATACAAAGCTTTCAAAACAATGTTTTGAATGAACGTTTTACATTTTTCATCATCAAAAGTCAAGATGTCATTATGACAATAGCTCTTGAACTTTTCATAAATAACACTGCTTATATAATACCAGCTAGCTATAATTTTTGTCTGAATTGTGCAAAAGCAAATACTAGCTTACAGCTTGATTGTCAATGTTGTGAGAAATACCTGTCTCCAAGATAGTTAGTTACAATAAAGATATATATTTTGTTCCCATAGTGGTAATCTGCTTTTTGCATATGGATGTAACTGTACAGAAGGTAGAACTGAGGTATTTTCATTATAATCACATCTTCCTTTCTATTACAGTGATCCCAAAGTTATGGACAAACAGCAGAGAGAAACTCAAAATATTAAAATACTTTCTTCTGTTCTTTCTACTGCTTGTAAATCAGTACAAGTCAATGGGGCTTTTGTAGCAGTAAGTGTATTTTGATTTTTATAAGAAGTTGATAAGGACCTTTAGGTTTTCAGCTTTTCATTTTCATTTTTAATTATTTTAGAGGATAGATTTATTGCCACAAAAACACACACTAAACCATCATGTGATGTTTTGTTTTGACTTAGTGTATTATGCAAATCCAGCTGTTGTGATAGTTTCAAAGAAGCCATCATACTTTTCAAATATCTCTCTAACCTCTGAATTCCAGTTGTTTTATAGAGGGAAGGTTTAAAGTATAACCCTTGAAATTATGACATGTTGAATCAAAAAGTTACAATTAAACACCAGCAGCAAAATAGTCAGAATGGCATTTTGGCAGTGAATCCACTGTGTCAAAACCAGATAGGTTAATATCTATCTTCCAAAGCTATTACATGCTGAGAATCTAGAACTAAACCATAATGACCGTTGTTTGGTTATGCCATTGTTTGTTATTCAAATCCAGGCATTTTAATTTGAAAGCCTTGGGGTATGATTCAGTCTGTTGTTTGAATTAAAACAGTTGGGGTTTATTTACCAACCATGACATAGTGCTGTGGTTCATGCAGGTTCATGTCTCATTGTGACTGTTTCAGCCATCATCCTGATACTCACTCATACAGGTATTCCTTGACTTACGTCCATTTGTTAAGCAACCATTTGAAGTTATAGTGACCAGTCCCCACAGTTATGGACATTGCAGCACCCCCACAGTCACATGATCAAAATTTGGGCATTTGGCAGCCCACTTGCACTTACAACCACAGGGGTACTTCAGCTCACCCACCCACCCACCCATCACCTTTCAGGGCACTTGGCACCCAGCACTCTGTGTTCCATGCTGCCCTAGCTGACCTTCACGATCTTCTTGCTCCAACTGCTCACTAAACATGGCCAGTCTTTGCGAGGCATCTAATGGCCGCACAAGGCTTTCTTCCCAAGGTTGTGTACAGCAATTTTCTGGAGAAGATGGCTTCACATGGTCAACACTTGCCTTGGGAAGGGCTAGGCCGGGCACACCCCATCTGTAACAAGAGGAAGAAGACAGCAAAGGTTAGCTGGGGTGGTTGAGTGCAGGGCAGTGAGGCTGACTGCAACAGCAACTGGCTTGGAACAGCTGTGGGCTTCCTGGCGTGGCTGCAGCTTTGTGCCCGCACTGCTGGGCCATGCTGGAGCTGGGCTTTGCGCTGTGCTGTGGCTAAGGGTCTTCTTGTAGCCCTAGACATACAGCATACCAAGAAGCCATTTTGTGGCATGCTGCTGGGCTAGGCTAGGCCGAGGTTTCTATGGGTGGCTGCGGACTCACACTGCAGCTCAGGAGCTTCCTACCCAATTGTAATAAGTTGACGACTACCTGTATGCCTTACATAATTTTCCCAAATAGCTTCCACAGAGACTGAAACTGCAGTGCGATTTTTATCACTGAAAATCTTATGCTCTAATGCCCAGTTCACGATTCCAGTACACAGTCTTACTCTATTCATCTTTACATTTCAATTATATAGAACATTTCTTAAGGAGTAATTCTTCATGGAGAATTACAAACCTAAGCATGGCCTTCATATATTATGCAGACCTAATACTCCTGGTTGTGACAAGACTGCTCAGTTTTATTTTTTGTTTTTAATAATGCAGGAGCAACGGAAACCTAGTTATGCAGAAATCTGCCAGAGGATTAGTAAGGATCCACCTCCATTACAGTCCCCAAAAGAACAGAAGCCAAACACTGTTGGTTGTGGGAAAGTGGAAAAGAAGCCCACAGAAACACTAGAAAGAAGCAAAGAATTGCCTCCTATGAAGTCTAAAGACCAGCAGAGATCATCAGGACGCAGGTCACCTCCAGCCATTGGGAAATGTCTAACTAAAGAACAGAATGCCCCTCCAAAATCACCTCAATGAAACTAATACTTAGGATGAATTTCAAGAAATTTTCACTATGTTGCCACTCAGAATACAAAGAAGGAGTTGCTGGTTAAAAGCTTGCAGGGGGTATGAGGCATATGAAATTCTTGCTAGGCATTTTTCGTTGTTTGTTGTTTCTTTTTGTTTCTTTATAAAATAGATTTTTCCTCTTTCTTGCATCCCCACCATCAAATTCCCCTTGAGCAAACAGTCAACTCTGTCAGGGTTTAATTAATCTAAACCTTACATTTGGTTGGTGCTGAACTTAAGATGATGCTTAAAATCATATTTTCCCCCTTTAGGCAGAAGTTGCATTTATCTAAAATCAATTTTTTATTAAACCTCTTTGAGGCTGTGTGATTACAAGCACTGTCTAATGAGTTTTTTCCTAATTTACTAGGCAGCAAGTGTTTACTAGTGCTGCTATAGTTTTTAAAATAACTGGGCTATAAGTACAAATCTTCAAAAAAAATCCTGAAGACTAATAATAGCAGCTAATGCATAGGATGTAAAGCAGAACAGATGTTTTATAAAACAGTAAGATAAGTTTAACTTTTTCCTTCTAAAATCCAGCAGCTGTAGCACATCAGTAAAGAGGCTATACTTTTTAAAAGTTAAAAAAATAAAACTGGTTCTAATATTTTAAATTCCAACCATTTTTGTTTTGGCCAAAGGAGAACTTCATAAAGATAATCTGTGAGCGTTCTCTAAACTAGCGGTCACCAATCGGTGGGCCACGGCCCACTGGTGGGCCGTGAGAAAATTTTGGTGGGCCACAGAGAAATCTCACCCCCAGAACACCCCCCCAAAGCAATTAATCCAGGCTGTGCAGAAACACAAGGCTGCGCTGCCCACATGGCCCGCGGGAACCCTCACCGCCCACTCACTCCTTACCCGACAAACTTGCCTGCTAAATTGCTATTTTTCCTTTTTCTGACCATCAGCTGTTCTGCTGTGCCAGGAGATTTAGATTAGCTAGGAAGCAGGAAATGGTTGGATTTCTTGCTTTCTAGCTAGTCTTTAGATCTTCGGCTCAGCACAGCCGAACCTGCCTTAGGACTGAAGGTTTGCTTGCAAGCAAATTTGGTGCAGACTCACGGCAAGCAAATTTGAGAGACTGAGCTAGCCAATGGCAGATAGATAGATCTCTGAATGAATCTGTGATTCTGTGAGCAACTCCATCTGCCTGCCTGCTTTGCCTGATTTTGGGTAAAAGTTGATCTTTTTTAAAATAAAAAATTCAATATTTACATGTATGGTGTGTTGTGAGTTAATTTTATCAGTTTGCTTGCAAGCAAATTTTATGTGACAGACTGAGCTAGCCAATGGCAGATAGATAGATCTCTGAATGAACCTGTGATTCTGTGAGCAACTCAATCTGCCTGCCTGCTTTGCCTGATTTTGGGTAAAAGTTGCTCTTTTTTATAAAAAATTCAATGTTTATATAAATATTTATAATATTTACATACAAGCCATGCCCAGCCAGTCACATGACCAAGCCACACCCACAAATTAGGCCATGCCCACAGAACAGGTTAGTGGTCCCTGGGATTTAAAATTATGAGTTTGGTGGTCCCTGAGGTCCAAAAGGTTGGCGACCCCTTCTCTGAACTGTTTGTGTTGATAGACTGCAAGCAAGTAACCAGTTTCTCAAGCCACACTAAAATGATCCCTTGAATTTCAGGAAAAGAAAAAAAGCACATTATGAATTAAATTAAATATGCCCTTGTGTATGACACATGCAAGCTAATGGCTATTTTTCACAAGATACCACAATAGCACTCCTGTGACAAACAAAAACATTTTTTTCCCTTCCCTCAACTGAGTAAGCTAATTTTGAACCCTTTACTGCAGGGCTGTTGAACTCAATTTCATTGAGGGCCACATCAGCATTATGGTTGCCCTCAAAAGGCCAGTTGCATGTAAGACTATGTATCATGTTAGATCAGGAGTGCATTATGACTTAAGTCTCAGTAGGATGCTGTGAGTCTGGATCTTCTGGAGTATAAGGGGGCTGCAGGTCACGTGATGGGGTGGTGATCAGTCTCTCCCAGCAGGTGGGTCACGTGATGGAATGGGATTCAGGTTACTGGTCAGCCCTTCCTCTTTCTCTCTCCTCTCTCTTGCACTTGCCTGTTGGGTTCTCCTTCCACAGCCTCTGCTCCTTTGTTGATTCCTCTGCTTGCCTCCCTTTCACTCAAACTCTTCTCTCTTTCAGGCTTGCCACACAGAAGCCTCTCCTCCCTATCACCTTCTGTCCCTCTCACTCCTCTCCTTTTCCTGCCAAAACCCCCTCCATTTATCTCCTCTCTCCCCGCCTCCTCTTTTTCTCCCGGGTGTGTCACTCTTTGGGGCTCAGGCAGAGCTCTCGCACCAACTGCTGTTCCAGCCTCACCTCCACCTCCCATGCAGTCACCCACTGCCCGGCTCGCCTTTGCATGCAGCGCTCATCAGCTGGAGCTGCGTACACTGATTCTGGGGTCTCTGCTGAGCCCCAGCAGCTGCAGCTGACTCCTCTCCCCAAAGCTGTGTGCTGCTGCTGGTGACAGCCAAGGCTGCCAGAAGCACTGATCAGCTGGAGCTGCACACACCAATTCCAGGGCCTCAGCCAAGCCCCAGCAACACTTCAGCTCCAGCTGACTCTCCCCCAGACCTGTGTGGCGCTGCCACCACTCCAACTTACTCCTCCGCTACACACATGACCCAAGCGCCTTCTATCCTTTCTCTTTCCTTCCCTCCCTTTCCTTCCCGCACCAGACACTCACTCTCAGGCAGAGGGCACTGCTGCCACTGACAAGACACCCGAAGAAGCGAGGAGGTAACTACTCAATCACCTCTTCCTTCTCCTCCTACTAGTCTGCTTGCGGGGCAGATCTAAACACATCACGGGCTGAATCTGGCCTGTGGGCCTTGAGTTTGGCATGTCTTCTTTTCTGGTTTAACTCCTGTGCTCTGTATAAGTTTTTAAAACTGTGCTCTGAGTGCTGACACCTTCTGAAACTACCAACATTGGCATATGGATTTAAATTATTTTAGCCCATGAATTGATGGTGGTTTTGTATGTGTGTGCATGTATGTGGAAGGAAGAGATTGCCCTGTGTCCTGCCTGGGGTGAGATTTGTCACACTTACTTTAGAAGTGACTTGCTTTCTGAAGGCTGCACTTAAATTAACAAGTTTCTAATAAAGATGCTGATGAATTATTTTTCTTTTAAATACCTAAAGTTTTTCCTTTGACTGTTTAAGCAGCAGATGGTTCGGATCAAAAGGTGTTCCTGCTAAATACAGTTTATCCCACATACACACAATCATTTGTTTAAACATCTGTTTTTTTTAAAAAAAAATAATTATTTCCATCCAATCTTTAAAAACTTGAATTTTATTTAAACTTGAAAATGACTTTGCCTTAACTTTTGTATAAGACTACTTAGAATTATTGAAGTCTGACCCTCTTAAGGGTTAGCACGGGGTGGTATATACAGAATTACTTGGTTACAGTATCTATGTATTGTCACTGGTCTTACTGGGTAAACATACTCTAGTAAAGGCAGTTTTTGTAATATATCTTAAATGTTCTTAAGCAGTTGATCTTTTTCAAAATTTTCAAAAATCTGTAAATGGAAATAGTCAATACTTTATTAAAATGTGCACTTGGAAGTGTGCACTTTTGCTTGTACAGGTATAAATAATCAGAACTTATAAAAAGGTACCATTAAAATCTGATAAAAAATGATATATTATAAATGTTGCTGTTGAAGTGGATGTAGATAAACTAAGTGTTGTGGTTTGAATATTACTTTGATTTGTTTTTCCCTTGTATATTTTTCTTTACGCTGATGTGATGTGCTGAGCTGAGTCTACCTCTTCACTGCAAAGGGGTATGGAAAGACGTCTGTCTTTAAAAGTCCTGACATTTTAAACACTTTCTGGAAGTTTTGCATTTCATTCATGTGGAACAGGGGTATAGTGTAAATTTCAATTCCTAGTAACTGAAATTAGTAGTATTATTTTAGTGAATTAGAAAGAAACAACATTGCCACCAGAAGTTCCCACCCCAAGTACACACAACCTCTCTTAGGCCAACATGTTAGTAAAGCTGGATTTAAATTTCCACATAGCTACTTTAAAAAAAAAAACCAACCCTAGGGCAGTTGATCTCCTAACATAAGTTGCTGCTATTTACAGTATAATTATCCTTTATCAAAAGAAAAAGGAAGAAACCAGCTTGCTCCTTGCACTGCAGTGTTTAAATTGGCAACTTGAGCCTTGTTTGTTATTTCCTGAGAAGATACATGAGAGAGTCAAAAATCATCTTACTTACCATTTGATGGGGTTTAACATTGGTCTTTTCCCCAATGAGCAGTGAAAGGGGCAGTAAGACAGGAGGTATGATTTAGATCAGCTATGAGTTGTCTTTGTTTGCCTGCTGAGAGCATGAATAAAACAGCTGCAAACAAAGAGGAAAGTGGTGATGACAAGTCATTGGTGCTAGCTGATAATTTGCAGGTCAGTAGATATAAGCTGTATTGTTTTAATGCATTTGCTGATGCTCTTTATACTAGGCTAATACACTAATTCTCACTCAAATAACAGTCTGACAAAAGTTTGAAACTTTACTGTGATAGCTTTTTTAAATTATATAAAAGTGTCATGCCAAATAACGTCTCCCATAATTTTTAACATTTTCACATTCAAACAGTTCAGGACTATTCAACAACATAGGCCAGTGATGGCTAACCTTTCTGGGCTGCTGTGCCAAAGATTGTGCGCGCGCTTGCATGCTTGCACTCACGTGCCAGCACCCAGAAGGCAATGCTCGCCCCCCCATGCCCCCTACGCATGCGTGCATAATCCCCACCCACCCCCACCACCCCCTTACCTGCACTGCACCTCACAGCTGGTTTTCGGCCAGTTGAAGGCCTTTTTTGGCCTCCCAAAGGCTTGAGGAAGGCTTCTGCAGGCTTCACAGGCTGAAAACTAGCCCCGTTTTGTCACTTCCGGTATTTTCGGAAAAACAGGAAGTGATGAAACGGGGCTAGTTTTCAGCCTGCAAAGCCTGCAGAAGCCTTCCTCAAGCCTTTGGGAGGCCGAAAATCAGCTGTGAGGCGTGCACATGCCCAGTGAGGTAAGTTTGCTTGCAGCTCGCGTGCTGCCACAAATGGCTCTGCGTGCCACCTGTGGCATGCGTGCCTTAGGTTCACCATCATGGACATAGGCTATTTATGTTTAGCTGTTCAGTCTCCTAAATTACTGTGTTGCAGGTTAAAAGAGGGCAAACCCATTGGAAATGGTGGACAGGAAGAGGTAGGACTACTTTGGTGCTCCTCATATAGAATTATATAGGTTTTTCTGAGTGTTTATTCAAAGGATGAATTTTGTTTCAGCATATTTAATATATACAGTATTTTTTGCATTAGGGCAGGGGTGTCAAACTCGCAGCATCACGTTACATGCTGTATCGTGACTTTCCCCTTCACTAAACCAGGGGTGGGTGTGGCCAGCGCATGACGTATCCAGCCCGTGGGCTGCAAGTTTGACACCCCTGTATTAAGGTTTCCTATCTACCACTACTATGCCCACTCCAGTTTTGCATCTAGCTAGAGAAACCAATAAACCATCAAGCTCACTCTTTTTGTTTCTAATTTTTTCTGCCTCTCCTTTGGAATTTGGACCCATTTTCAAAGACGTGTCAGGTTCCCATTCATCTC